GACTTCAAATGCATCACATAACAACCAAAAAACCGGATCCTCTAATTTTCGTCTATCTTTATCACGAAACTCTCAATCCAGGGAGAAGTCAAGTGGAAAAGGCATTAGGTGTTATGAATGTGAAGGTTGAGATCATGTTCAAGCAGAGTGCACAACCTATCTAAGGCGCAAGAAGTCAATGAAGCGGCTCTAAGATTGGAGAGTGCCAGCTTTAAAGAACTCCGATTCGCACACTTGGACCGACGGGAGGAAGGGTACTCTTGTTTTCTTGAGAGTCCAATAGCGGCTTAACTTCATTCGCTTCTGCTTCATCAATACCAGAGTCTGGCCTAGAACGAAGATGGTCGCCGGGCTGCGCCTTTGGTGTCGGTGGAGCAGAAGTGAATGATACCAGGCAGATCAGGATTGAAGAAGATCGACCAGATGCGACGGTACGTGGATGCCGTATTCAGGTATATACATTCATATCGTTGGTTGGATTTTAGTTTCTGTTATGTTAGTTTCTCCTCGTCTCGTATAGTATTCAGGTACGCTCAACATCGTTGGATTTTGGATTTTGGCGGCATTCAGTTTCTTCGTCTGTTTCTAGGATCCTCTTCCTCGCCGTCATACGTAAATCTCAACGTTCAAAGCTTAGGGCCACATGAAGATCTGGAAAGTTATCTTAAGGCTATCGAACACTTAAGAAGTAATGTTAAATTTTTCAGCAACAGCAAAAGCTTTAAGAGTAGTGAGGGGCCATTTAAATAATTTACTTACCAAAGCTATTTCCAAGCTTGAGGATGAATTTAAACATCTCTTATCTTAATTTGGGCCCTCTTTTTTCAAATAATTTCTATATCTACTATACTATATATACTAATAAGAGCCCAAGAGAGTTAGGCCTATAATGGGTAGAAAAAATGGCGGTCACAGATTTTAATCAAATGAATGGCTCAGATTGATTAAAAGATTGATAAGATTTAAATTTTACACTAAAATTTCCTAAAATACCCACACACCGTTACTAATTCCGTTAAAATTTTAAAAATTGCCGTTAGTTCACCGTTAACTTACTCATTGATTTCAATAAAATAAAATAAAAAAGGTCTTAGGTTCGAACCTCATCCCAATCAAAGTTGGCATAATTAGTACTCTATTTTACTCTTATTAAATTATATAAATAATAATTTAGTAGCTACAACAAAAAATTATAGATATGCATTTCTTTAATTTAGAATTATGTGTCCACAATGCCTTTATTCAAAAAAAAAAATTATTCATTATCAATAAATTAAATAAGAGAAATAATTGTATGAGTTATATGATTGTCTTTATTTTTCTACAATATAAAATTCTTTATATTCAAATTCATTAATTGATTATATTCGTTACATTGTTCTTACAATGTCTTAATTCAGTGAAAAAAAATTATTCATTATCAATAAATTAATTAAGAGAAATATTTTCATTAGTTATATTGTCTTTATTTTTCTCAAATGTAAAAATTGTTACATTCAAATTCATCAATTGATTATATTCACTACATTGTCTATTATCTTTTTTTATGCACTATTTTTCTAATTAAATATCAAAGTTATAATACAAAACAATGCTATATATTTATTTACCAAGTATTTTATTAATACCATGAAAAAATTAAAAAAATATATAATTAATAAAGCCAACCATATTAACTACTTGAGAGATTTTGTGACAAAGAGAGTATTCAAATCACACAACAAATTGAAGTGAGAACTACCTTGCAATGTCCTTGTTTGACAATCCGCAGTTAGCGGATTATATTAACGGATTTGACCAACGAATTTATTTAATTATTAACATTGGGTAGAAAAAATGACCGCCAAATTATTAAATCAAATGAATGGTTCAAATTGTTCAGGTTTTAATTTTTTTTAAAGTTTTTCTAATTTATCCTTAATTATATGATTATCCATCTAACTTTTCCGTTAAATACCGTTAATTCACCGTTAGTCTAATTCTAATATTAACGTCTAATATAGAATTATAATTACACCATTAATCTAATTCTAATATTAAAGTCTTAATAGAACTTAACCACAAATCCTAATGTCGAAATCTCCTCAAACAATATTAGTATATATTTAATATTTTACCCTAATTTTTATTTGTTCTCCCTTATGTCCCGTATTTGGTTTCAACCATACCTATACAATTATTTTATTGACAATTATAATCAATCTTGACTATATTATCTTGCATTTGTAAACTTAGAATTACCTATTTAACCCGCACGGGCTTAGCTCAATGGTTTACTGGGCAGTATTTGGGAGAAGAGACCAAGGTTTGAACCTCGGCGGCGGTAGTGCGGGAATTATGTTCAAAGTGGGCAGATTCCTTGTTCGCACCGACATTTGGTCCTGTCTGCTGAACCATTGAGTCACCGTGATTTACAACTTCCCACAATGCTCTGTCGGGTCGGAGTGTGGGGGGCCCTTGGGGTTGGGGACTCAACCTTTGGGAGAAGAAATTACCTATTTAAATACGCAAATTCTTAATATACTTTAAAGTACTTATTTTAAAAAAAAAACATTGGGCATTATCCCAATCGCGCAATGCGCGTAAAAAACTAGTATAAATAATAGTTGTTCAAAAAGTTGTCTAGTCCCTAAAATCTTCATTGACCAAAACACCATTTCCTATACTTTTTTAAAAAATCTTGCAACAAAAACAAAACACATTATCAAGTTCTTTTGAATATACAAACCAATCTTGATCACACTTCTCTCGCGTAGGAGAATATCTTGTGTAAAATGCGGATGAAAATCTTCTAGAGAATTTATCTTTAGGACCTTTATTTATTGATAAATCTCTTTTAGGACCATCTTTCGCAAGAATATCTATTAATTTTAAATCAAGGGCATCCCAATTTATTGGATCATATATGTCAAATAAAAGCGAATCATTTGGTTTATCACTGTGTCCAACATCATCTAAACAACTGTCAACATTCTTATTATTTTCATTGTCATAGTGATACCTATCATTGTGCACACTATCATTTAAATTTTACGCTTGTTTGTTTTCTTTTTACGCTTCACAAATCCAGATGAATATTTTCTAGAAGACATAAAATCCTAAGGGAAAAAATATATTTAGAAACTCAATCAATAAATAATTAATCAAGAAACGAATTCTTGAATATATTATTTTTGAAATCATAATTATTAAGTCATGTAAATAAAACAATAAACAAAAATTATCAAACAATACGTCAAGAAAATTGAAGAACTTGAGAGTTTGTATGATTAAAAAAAAAAAAAAAAAGAATTGAAGAATCAGTGGCACACGAACTAAGTCGTTTTTGCGTCAATTCACTAAATTACGCTGCTTAAGAGACATCAAACAGCAAAGAATACAAATAAACAATCAAATTGAATATTTAAATTACTACATAAAGAATACAAACAACCAAACTACAGCAGCCTAATAACAATACCACAAATAACTCAAATTAAATATTTAAATAATTAAATTAATTCAATTACCCAGCCAAATTGTGAAATTGAAATTGTTGGTCTCTCTCGTCTCTTCTAGTCTTCTGTCACTTTGTGTCTCTATCTACTGCTAGAGCTATATTAGGGACTAGAGATTTAGGGTAGGTTTGTTGGGTTGTTCGAAGCCGTAGCTGTTGCGCTATATACTACATTTTTTTTTTTTTTTTTAATATGGGGGCCCTGTGCGCCGGCCCTGGGAAAACTTGCCCAGGGCCGGCCCTGATAATATATCATGTATGACTGGTATATTTTTAATGACCATAGTCCCTTACATGAATTTTCTGACTCCACCCCTACTTATAAAAGGTGTAGTCTATAAGAACAGGGATTGCCTTACATTTATTCACAAGTTTTTTTTTTTTTTTTTTTTTTTTTTTTTTTTTTTTTTTGACATGGATCACGCACTTGAAATGCTGAAAAAAAAAATAGTATTGCAGTCAATTTCAAGTTTTTTTTTTTTTTTTTTTTGGCATGGATCACATAAAAAACATTTTTTTTTTTGCATGGATCACATCCGATATGCCATTGCTTCTAGGAGTTCTAGGAGTGATATTATTTAGATGACTCTGGTTTAGAAACTTTTAATATATTTATATATTATAAATTATGTGTACGACTAAAAATGTTGTTTACATGGAAGTTAAATATAAAAATGATAAAGAATCAATACATATTAGTTTACATAAATACCTTGATCCACAAACGAATTGGAAGAGAAAGACACGGCATAATTCTTTTCACGCATTTAAGAAGATAGAAGTACATTTCACAATCTCTATCAGTAGAAATTAGTTTCTTCATGTCTGGCTCCATTATTTCTGCCACACTCCACAATCTCTATCCGTAGAAGTTGGTTTCTTCATATATGGCTCCACATTCTTCTCTTTCATTTATTCCTTTTTTGATTTTTTATGCAAGCGTGATTGTTAGAGCCTCATTTACATTCTACCGTCTTCTGTCGCCGCCGCTGCGAAAATACACGAATGGTTCTTCTACAGCTTTGAGCCATTTTTTTCTGATGATGAACTCCGAGTGGTAGCTATCTGCGAATTTGTGAGGCTTTATTTATAGTGTTGTGTAAGATTATAAAAGCTTATGTATATTTAATGTTAGTTTTGAAGATTGCATAAGTCATCTTAGATTTAAACAATTATTGAATAACAATTTTTGAGAACCAAAATTGATTGATCGAATTCCAAAACAACTATTTAATAACAATTTTCGGCAACCAAAACTGATTGATCGAATTTCAAAAGTCGCAATTATTAAACATCTTAAATGCACGTTATGCAGCCAAAATGTCATAGTTTTATTTTTGGCTAGGATCGGATAGGATATAAAGTAACATGATTAATGGATCAAATTTTTTTTATTAATGGATCATATATTTGACCTTATTAATTAAAATTTCCACTCATCTCACATAGGCACACAAGTTTTTACCTCAAATATAAGCTCATAATTGGATTTATACTCAATAAGTCATCATTCGAAACCAATATATATATTCCCACTACAAAAAGTATATGAGTTATTAGGTTTTATAAACCTTTCCAGCAGTATATATTCTTAATAAACTCAAAAAATGGCTGTTAGCTCCAGAAATTTGAGCAGTTATAGATGCCCTCTAATGGCATTAAGGCACAGCCGACAATCCAATCGCCATAGCCGTGCAAGTGGAGCATACATTGCCAAGAAACAAACATGCCAACTGGTGAATTATTTCTCAACTTTGAAGCGCATGGTTTCTCGGGATCCGCCGGAGCTCTGGCTAGCAAACAAGAAAATCACTGAGCTAATCCGAAGCGGCCGACTTGAAGATGCAAGATTTTTGTTTGATAAGTTGAGGCACAGAAACATTGTAACGTGGAATTCGATGCTCACGGGATACATCCAACGTCGGGAAATAGCGAAAGCTCAGGACTTGTTCGATGAAATGCCTGAGCGAGACGTTGTCTCGTGGAATTTGATGATTTCTGGTTACATGTCTTTTCGCGGGAGTGCATACATAGAATATGGAAGATATTTGTTTGATCGAATGCCCATGAGAGATATCATTTCCTGGAACACAATGATCAGTGGGTATGCCAAAATTGGGAAAATAGATGAAGCGTTGAAGCTTTTTGATTGTATACCCGAGAAGAATGTAGTATCTTGGAATGCAATCATTTCCGGGCTTTTGCAGAATAGTGAGGTGAAGACTGCTATAGAATTTTTCAACAGAATGCCAAAGCGAGATGCAGCTTCTCTTTGTGCGCTTGTGTCAGGGTTGATCCAGAATGACAAATTGGATATTGCTGCAAATGTACTGTTTGATTTTCAGAAAATTGGTAATAATAGTAGTGATCTTGTTTATGCTTTTAACACCTTGATTGCTGGGTATGGTCAGAAAGGCAGGATTGATGATGCTCGCCATCTTTTCGATCAAATTCCATTTTATACTGATAAGGGTATAGGACAGTGTAAGAGATTTGAAAGGAATGTAGTATCATGGAATTCAATGATAATGTGTTATGTAAAGGCTGGGAATATGGTTTCTGCTAGGGAGCTTTTTGATCTAATGGTTGAAAAGGATACTTTTTCCTGGAACACAATGATAAGTGGTTATGTCCGTATCTCAAATATGGAAGAAGCTTCAAATCTCTTTTCTATGATGCCAAATCCAGATGCATTTTCATGGAATACGATAATCTCAGGGTATGCACAGGGAGGCAAGTTGGAACTTGCTTGTGACTTTTTCCAAAGAATGCCCCATAAGAATTGTGTCTCCTGGAATTCTATGATAGTAGCATATGAGAGAAATGCAGACTACAAAGGAGCAATAAGACTTTTAATTCAGATGCAATTCGCAGGAGAAAAACCTGATCGGCACACATTATCTTCGCTTCTAGGCATTTGTGCAGAAACTGTAGCTCTGTGTCTTGGCATGCAGATTCATCAGTTGGTAACAAAGACTGTCATTCCTGATGTACCGCTAAACAACTCCCTCATTACTATGTATGCCAGATGTGGGGCTATAATGGAAGCAAGATCCATTTTTGACAGGATGAAATTTTGCAAAGATGTAATCTCTTGGAATGCTATGATTGGAGGGTATGCATCCCATGGTTTGGCTACCGAAGCATTTGAACTTTTTGACAGAATGAAGGAACTTAAAATGAAACCGACCTATATCACATTTATTGCAGTTCTTTCTGCATGTGCTCATGCAGGTTTGGTGGAGGAAGGCCGTTTCCACTTCAAATCCATGGTTGATGAATTTGGTATCGAACCAAGACTGGAGCATTTTGCCTCTCTTGTGGATATTGTAGGTCGTCATGGACGAATTGAAGAGGCCATGGACATAGTAAAAAATATGCCCGTGGAACCAGATAAGATTGTCTGGGGGGCATTATTGGGTGCTTGCAGAGTGCATAATAATCTGGAGTTTGCACAAACAGCAGCTGAAGCGTTAATGCAGCTTGAACCGGAAAGCTCTGGCCCTTATATGTTACTATACAATATGTATATGGAAGCTGGAAGATTGGATGATGCCAATGAGGTCAGGATGAGGAGGGAGAGAAATAGTGTAAAGAAAGAACCAGCCTACAGCATGGTTAATTCTATCTATCCATAATAAACTTTATCTAATTGAAAATCATGTTACAATAATTAATTGTGGCATGAGATGTCTATACATTTGGCTACACCATCATGTTAGAAGATGGCGATTGCTCAACACAAGGAGTTGCGGAGTGGGAATTTGTTTTTCATTAACTGGGAGTGAAGTTGATTTTGTCAGCAATTGAGGGCTTTTCTTTTTGGTTTCATGGCCCCCGACATCTGATAGTCACACTACTCTGGAGCTGAGCTATTGTTAGATCCCATTTGGATGGAGTTCTCCCACCTATTGCTCTTTTCACAAGGCTCCAACCCAACTAAATTCCTTTAACCTGGCCCAGTGGTCATTCATAGCCTATGGTGTCTCAGTAAATATGACAATCATGGATAATGCTCTCAATGATCCACTTCAAGGTAGGCACTACCGATATTTCTGGGGTTACATATCATTATTTTCTTTCAAGTTACAATATTTTTCCATTTTTTTGGGGTAAATAATGTACTCCATTATATTTGTTCGAAGTTTGAACCTTTGTTAGGTAGTTTTTGTGACAGGCATACATCTCATTATTTTTGTATCATATTATGTTTTCAGTTTTTGGCACAGAGATAATGCTGGAGCATCTCACAGTTTCTCCCTAAGCTCTAAATTTTCAGACTATAGCCATCTTCATATTCATCTAAACCAAATTGAAGAATGCCAATGTTTTATGTTGGTAATATTCCTACATTGTTTTCGACTTATGAAGTGTATTTTCAATTTTTTGTTACTTGGACCAAAATTTTAAAAAAAATGGGTAAAAAATGCATTTATGAATTTTTTATCAATTAGGGTCAGAAATGTGTTTTCAAATTTTTGATTAATTAAGAAACGTGTGAAATTTTTTGGAAACTTTAGATTAATTAAGAAATGAGACAAAAATGTTTGCATAGTTAAAACAGTGAACACTATTTGATCTTCACTGAGTTCCTATATAACATAATCTTAAATTGAAAAGAGTTTTATTACATAAAGTAAGTAATATGCATTTAGTATTATTAGTCTTAAATTGGTAGTCACACTATTTTTTTTTTTATCTTGACAATCCCATCAATTTGGCCATGTTTGCTGAGCCACTAAGTTGTCGTGATTTACATCCCTACCAAATGCTCTGTGGGGGGCCTTGGGTTGGGGATTCAACCTTTTGGGGGGAAGAATACCATCATATTTTCATGGTGGGTTGGTTGCATTTAAGACATACATTAGAGTGCCAACTATCATGTAGTGTGATGACATTATGGTTACCATTCCAAATAGGTGGTCATAGGTTCGAACTCTGGTGGTTTAGTGCTAGGGGGAGATGGCAGTTTAGGGGGTCCTGAAATTGAGTGTGATTGTGCTTATGAAACTGTTGCACTGCAGATACCAATATGGGTTCATGTTAAAACACAGAATACTTGAGTATTGAGAAAGTTTACATTACTGAAAATGTGGTTGTGTGTTGTTTATATTGCATATATTACTGCTGTGCAAAGTCCTGATTCCTAGTATGGGTACATTTAAACTGTGGGCTGTTGTTGCACAGGGCAAAAGAGGCACCACGAGCAAGTGGATTGCGAAACTGGAAGGGACAAGCCTTCTTGCAAGTGTATCATAAACTATTTGACACCCATGCATGGTCAACAATTTGTTCTTTTTTGCTAGTACTGTCTTGTACGTTTTCTAACACGCACATACACAATATAATAAACAGTAATGTAGAACTATAAGTATTTTGCTCACCTCTGGTTTTTGATTGCTAATGGCAGAAAGATCTCCTGTCTGCATATCTCGAGAGAGCAGGCCAAGTAGTGAGGGCAGCGACTGTGCGCAACTTGAAGCCAAGAAGGATGAGGATGTTGTGGCGAGACAGCACCAACAAAGAGGACTGCGCCATCTATGCCATGCGACATATGCAAATGTACATGGGTAAATGGAGCAAGGGCTGGGAGTGTGGTCTCGAAAAAGGAAACCGGCAAGAGTTAAGAAACCTACACGACATACTCATGGCTGATATAAACACGCACAGAGATACAATTGCCACACGCACAGCTGAATGCGATAGAAGAATTAAGAACAGGATCCCGTAGTGAGCCCTTAGGTGCCGTTGGGCTGTAGGAGTATGAACTGTTTTTTGCTGGACAATTCTTAGTTGGTAATTTAAATTAAGATAGACAATGGGTAACAATGTGTCGTCGTTAAAAACGTGTTGGTAGCGTAGAGACCATTTTTGGCATTCCTGTGGTTCTTATTTTCACAATGTTTTGCATGTTTATGGTTAGTTGGAGTAATGTCTCGTACAGACCTTGGTTGCACAGCTCTCAAACATGAGTTGCACCCTTTTGGTACACTTATGGGAAGTTGCGAAAAGTAAATAAATATTTATAAAATACAAGAACTTGTGTGAGACCGTCTCACAGGTCTCAATCCATGAGACGGGTCGGATCTTTGATTTTGAGATCAAATATCTGACTCATTAATCAAAGATTTGACCTATTAATAAAAAAATCTACTGATTGAAACCCGTGAGACGGTCTCACACAACTAAAATGTTTTGCGTATTTGTGGCTAGTTGAATTTATGTTTCGTGAACACATTGGTTGCACAGCTCTCGTACCTGATTTGCACCAGTTTTGTGATTAGCAGATACACCTAAGATTTGCGTAAGTAACACACTGTTCCTGTAGTATTTAGGATAATATACATGGATCGATACATCTGTGTAGTTACACCGATGAATGAATAAAGTTGCACAGGTGGGTTATATGGGGTGAATGTTAGTGTAAATGGGGGTCGATTAGTTTGCACCACTCAGCACTCAAACCTGATTTGCATCAGTTTTGTGATTAGCAGACGCACCTAAGATTCGCCTAAATTACATCACTTTTTTTTTTCCTTTCAAAAAAAAAAAAAAAGGAATTCACTTTTTACTGTTTACTGTTTAGTATTTACAATTTGAATTTAAAATTTAGTTTTTTCCATTGATTTTTAAAAATTTATTTAAGTTTGCATATTTAGTTGTTATTACAAATTATATATTTAAGTGTTCAATTTGTCAAGTGAAGTTGACAATAATTATGAAAATGTCACTACATTTTTTTTTAAATATGATTTGATCTGTTCAATTTTAACAGCTTTGAGATTGGTTATTAATTTTCTCTTGGAAATGTGTTCTAATTGGATCATTAGTGTTTTATATATATATATAAATATATATATATATATATATATATATATATATATATATATTTATATTTCATATTTGGCCTGACTCTTAGTTAGTTCCAACAGTCCCCAACCTTTGCCCATAGGAAAGGAAACAAGATCCTTTCTAGCTGCAAAAAGGGGAGAGGAAAACCTCTAAGACCTTTCCACTTACCGTAAATGACCCTCAGAAAATTTAGTCCAAAAACATTTAAGTTTAAACTGATAACGAGGGTATATATTTAATATTTATATATTACGAACTGCATGTGGAAAAAAAAAAACAAACAAACAAAAAAAAAACAAAATTAAAAAAACAAGCGAAAGTTTAACCCTATGGATCAAATTAACGTTTAAAATAATTGAGAAATTAAAATTTAAAAATTGACAATAAAAGATCAAATTATATAATGTAATAAGAACAATAATGGACCCAAAAAGATATAATTTTTCCAATAACATATTTTGGCCATTGTACATCATATTGTAGGAAAGATTTTGAAAGATATGAAGTGTGATCGTGGCCCAATCTTTAATGTTTAGGCCAAATTTTCATCCATTTTCTATAGTCAATGGAGACAACTTTTTCATCTTTTTCCATTTTGTAAGCTAAGGGTCAATTGCTAGTGCTCTGATTTGAAGTATATGCATGCTTTGCTGCCAAAGAACTTTCTTCTTTGTACTTGACTTTTAATATCATCTTGACACCTTTGCAAAAACCTTCATGCGCATTTCCAAAATACAAAAATAAAATAAAATAATAATAAAAAATTGAGCGGGATATAGATGATGGAAAGTACATAACTCATGATAAATACAATTTTTTTTCATATGACACCCGATATCCTCACTACAATAATATTAATTCAAACACGATTCTAGTCATATTAGTTGAGTTTGACTTTTACCCTAAGTAAAACTTAACACAGAACTCTTTAACATAACGTACTATTTACAAAGTTCAAACCTTTAACCTTACAGTTACATGAGCACAAATCGAGAAATTATCTTTTATATTCATTATAATATAATTTATGAATTAAAAATATTTTTTCCCCTCAGAATTTTATCTTTAATGTTTAGCCCATGATATGACATGATCAGTAAAGATAAAGACAAAAAAAAATCATTATATTCATTAATTATCTGTGAATTAATTGATTTCACTATGAGTTAACAAGATAAAGAGATATCATTAAAAGAGTTCATTTGATAATTAAATACAAAAAAAAAAAGTGTAATAAAATAATGATATGTTAGGAAGTAATTTGAGGAAAGGAGTATATATATCATGACTCTTATAAATTGTCTGATTACAAATTATATTTGGTCTAAATTCTAAACTACTTTTGTATAACAAATTATATGTTTTGTGACAACAAAATATCATAATCTTTCAAATTTATTGATTATTTATAAATTGATCGATTTTGTCATAAATTTATTAATTTGGATTCATATAATATTGAATTATGTAGGTGATGATGCGTCATATCCTTTAATTTATACATTATATTATGGCCTATATAGGGTAATAGGGTACAATGGCATTAAATTTTGTAGGTTTGAAGTCAACTAATTAAGTAATTGCTTTATGTGAAATTTCAACTTTAATTTGTCAAATTTCAAACAATGAGCTGAGTGGGGGACAGGAGTTTGTGTGGCTATGGATGTTTCATGTTGTGTGCCACTAGAAGTTGAAATCTTCTTGCTTTATTAATTTTTTCTCCAATGCCATACATTAAAATTAACTTGTGTCATTGTTTGATGTCAACTCCTCTACCATAGTGGCTTTTATAATGAAAGAGAGATTCATGCTTTTGGATTTTTTAAAAAGATTTTGATGGGAAAATACATTTCTCCAAATTATGAGATATAAATATAAAAGAACTGCAAAAGAAGAATAGATAACAAATATACAAATTTAATGTAAAAATCATAATAGTGAAAACTATGAGTCGATTATGACTATAAAGTAGAAGGGAGAGAAGTTATTGTTGAAACTCGGAGTCCTATATTTTGCTGGTTTTTGAATTCCTTTATACTCCCTCCGTCCCGAATTGGTTGTCTCATTTGCTTTTTGCACGCTTTTTAAGGAATTAAAGTAAATGTTATGTATTTTCCAATTATGCCCTTCACTTTTTCACTTTTGGGAATAAAAGCAAAAGTCATAAGGGTAATTTGGGAAAAAGTAGAATGATGGTGATGTTCAATTTTGGAAAGAGGACAACATTTTGGGACAAACTAAAAAGGAAAGTAAGACATGCAAAATGGGACAGAGGGAGTACTATTTTTCCGTGTCAATTATAATAGCTTCCAACATTTCTTTGTTCTTAAGTCTCAAATTAATTTTCTTTAATTATTCCCATTTATTATTGGCTCTTAATATAATTATTATATTATAACTGTGACTCTCGCAAATGGGAGGTCGCCTCAGGTTCGAATTTCAATGGAGATATTGATTCTTTGTGCTTCAGTAGGTTGAAAAAGTATGTATGGACAAATACTATATTGTAACAAAGTCAATAGAATTCAAAAAGAAAAAAGAGTCCTCCCACCCTCCAATATGGTATCTATCATGCTTTGTTGCAAATTATAGTATATTATATTCTTGAATCTCAACACTAATAACCATTCGTTTAAGTGAATGAAACTTGATTTTACTTATTTGTTGCGTGTTTATATATTAACAAAATAACAAGTATTACGATTCGATAACTTTTCAATTTGGATTATTTGAAGTTTTATAAAAGTATTGAATACTAAAACATTATAATACAAAATAAAAGATTTGCCTAGCAGGGTTAGTTCAATTAGTTTGACCAATCACCCTAAAGCTTTATTCCAACAACAATGTAAGGGATTCGAATTCCATTGAGAAGCGAGCCCCCTCCGCGGGGAGGGGGGGGGGGTTCATTTAAAGATGTTGATCGATTAGAGGTAATGAAAACTCTTTGTACGCAGAGTGTGTATAGGCAAAGGGTAGAGACCTGGAGACTAATGGATTGACCCACAATTTATCTTTTCTAGCGACTCTTGGTATAGGTTCTGGGAGTTTAAGATTAGTCTATTCCTTCAAAAAAAAAAAAAAAAAAAGATTAGTCTATTGTAAGCTATGAAAACTAATGTATAAAAGAAAAGAATTTTTTTTTTTTTAAAGAAAAAACTACTGTATTTATATAAAATATTGTCTTAAATGATGTGGTTATGACAATGGTTGGAACTCTTCAAATTCATTATCTATTAATTAAACCTACTACAAATTAATCAGATTAAATTATGTCATGATTCGGCGTAAAGGATTCGAGAAAAGCAACAATACCTATTGTGCATTGTTGAAAGGTTAACGTTTGCCATAATTATTTTTGGAGCATTTCATGTCTTGACCCGTAATGGAAATATATAGCATGCATATATATACGCCCTCACACATATTAATGAATGTATTCAAATTCTATAATCAACACATGATAAATGACCTTTACAATCTCTTTTATTTCTTCTCGATTTTTTTAAAAATTCCAGTTATAAAATGGAGTGATGGATTAAATTAATCTGGATAGTCCGGATTAGTTAACCCAATAATAATAGATAAATGGATAAAGGTGGATAATATAATGGGAAAGACAAGGAATATATGCCAAATCTTGTATTAAGAAATGTTGTAAGATGATTACAAGTGAATATGCGATTTGATAATAAAGATGATGATGTCTTAACAAGACAACTACAGTAGTATTTATACTCAAGAGCCTCCTAACCGCCCCCTAAAAAGGAAGAGTTTGTTGCAACTACTTGGGCAGTGCCTAGCCCCAAGGTCAGGCCCCCACCCGATGCCGTCGACCGAGGCCTTGGGCCGGGGCCCAAGCCGAGGCCTAGGTCGAGCCTAAGGCTCGGCCTAGGTGGCCAGGGGTGCAATGCGGGCTCCGCCCCGAGACCTCGGGTCCAAACGAACCCATCTTGCTTCACTCTAACGGATCAATTTGCTCTTGGTCCATCTCCCATATATCCATCATAGAGTTTGGAGAAGGTAATAACTTTTTCCATTACTAA